TTTTTTTATATTGAGTAAATCAAATTATTTTAATTTTAATTTTTTCTAAACAAATTAACAATTTCTAAATTCAAATTTTTGGCTCAATAATTTGTTTCATTTCTAATTTTTAATTTTTGGCCTCATTACCCATTTTATTGTTTCATTTCTTAGCCCAACAAGATTCAATCCACTAAATAACTCTAAACACTTACACTAAAGTGCATAACGTTGTCTCGACTCTCGCACTCACTCTCGCAGCTTCCCGACATTTCAAAACCTATAGAATCGTCAGTCGATGCTATGACCTCCGATCGAAGCTGTGATCTCCGCCGACCGAAATTTTGACCGTAGCGATCATTTGAACAAGGTAGTCTACTAGTTTATGGCATTCCAAAACCATTGAATGTATCATTAGTTGTATTTATATGATGTTGTTATAAATATTAAAAAATTTAATTATAGTACAGAACCAAACGGAATCGAACCCGAACATGAACGGTTCCATAATTATATTTGGACCCGACAGTTCCATTTATTAGATACCCGAAAATTTTGGTTCGATTCGATTCTAGACCCGCGCCCACGCCTGTATAGGAGTAGTGGGACTAGTTGGACATTGCAGTCGAAAGCCCTAAACATCAATCAAGACATCAGTCAGGCCAAAGTTATTGATGTATTACATATAGACTGTGTTTTTCTTTATACGGGCCTACTACAATGTTGAGCCTGATTAATACATTTTCTATTGAATGTTGAGGATTACTATTCGCAGTTAATGTACTTTAACTCAATTTTCAATTGGATCACTGTACTTCAATTTGTGTCGATAATATCCTTATACTTTAATTTGTATTAATTGAGTCACTAGACTTTCAATATTGTCTCTATTTAGGTTCTTTGTTCAATTCCTTCACATCGGCTAAAGCAGACACTAATGTGGACATCAAAAACTAATGACTATCCTACATGGCCGTAAAAAAATGACCACATAGGATGGTAGATAGTATATAATAGGGATGTTAACGAGTCAAGTCGAGCTGGTTCGCGAGTCGAAATTCGAGGCTCGAGCTCGGCTAGGTTAAAA